GTGTGTGTGTGTGTGTGTGTGTGTGTGTGTGTGTGTGTGTGTGTGTGTGTGTGTGTGTGTGTGTGTGTGTGTGTGAAAACCATATGCTGACTGCTGTATTCTCAATAAATGTGGTGTGTTGCCTTTTCCCCTATAAAAAGATCTCGTGTGCTTTTTGTAAGCATAACAGCGGGCGTTAACGTCAGGCACAGCCCAGTCAGGGATAAGGCCCCGTTGTAACGAGCTCCCGCGGGCTGGGGTGGGTTCGCCCCCCATTGTGTCCTCTCTGGCAGCTGCGTTAGTGAAACACAAGTCACTGAGCTCCGGGCCGGGGGAGACTCACCGGGGCGCTGCGGGGGGAAATTAGCCAAGAACCTTGTGGAATTAAAATGCAGCTAAGATTCAGAAGAACAAAAAAAACCCTAGCGAAATTCCCCACCCGCAGGAAAGCTCTGGAAAGCCGGCCAGGCGGAGGGTGAGGTCCTGGCTCGGGGCAGGCCGGCCAGGTGAACCGACGGAGGGTGAGGTCCTGGCTCGGGGCAGGCCAGCCAGGTGAACCGACAGGGGTGAGGTCCCGGCTCCAGGCAGGCCGGCCAGATGAACCGACGGGGGTGAGGTCCCAGCTCTGGGCAGGCTGGCCAGGTGACTGTATGGAGGGTGAGGTCCCGGCTCAGGACAGGCCGGCCAGGTGAACTGACGGGGGTGAGGTCCCCGGCTTGGGGCAGGCTGGCCAGAACCACCAACGGGGGTGATGTCCCGGCTCAGGGCAGGCCAGCCAGGTGACTGGATGGAGGGTGAGGTCCCGGCTCAGGACAGGCCAGCCAGGTGAACCAACGGGGGTGAGGTCCCGGCTCAGGGCAGGCCAGCCAGGTGACTGGATGGAGGGTGAGGTCCCGGCTCCGGACTGGCCGGCCAGGCTCTGGTAGCCCTGGGACCTGCCTCCGGGGCACCCTGTGGCCAGCAGTGTGGTACCCGGGACCCACAGGGCCTCCTGCCTGGTGAGCTGCGGGGGATGGAGGGGGTGGGATCAGGTGTCCCCGTCCCCTCAGCAGGCAGGTGCCCGGCGGAGTTTGGTGGCAATCGAAGCGTCTCAGGGGGCTGTTCCCAGGGGACTCTCTGGGGCGTGATCCCCCCGGCGACGCCCTTCTCCGCTCTGCTTTCAGGCACCCGGAATTACACCTACGCCGTGCGCGGCTGTGGCACGAAAAGCACCTGTGCCAGCAAGGTGGGGGGGTACAAGCTGCCGGGGTGTCATGGAGTGTGGGGGAGTCAGGGCCCTGCACCCCTCTTCCTGGGATTCACCGGGACTCTCAGCCAGCCAGTAACACAGAAGATTTATTAGATGACCGGAACACCGTCTCAAGCAGAGCGTGTAGGTACAACCAGAACCCCCCAATCAAGTCCTTCTGGGGGGTTCAGGGAGCTTAGACCCCAGCTTGGGGTTCCCTGTGTTGCACCACCCAGCCCAAACTGAAACTAAAAATCCTCCAGCCACTTTCTCCCCCCTCCCCTCTGCTCCTCCTCTCCTTTGTTCAGTCTCCAGGGCAGGTGTCACTTCTCCCAACCCCCCTCTTGGCTCAGGTAACTTCCTTCAAGGGAAGTCCCCCATACCCAATGCAACCCCCCTGCAACCTTCCCAGGTCAAATCCACCCCGCTCCCTGCCCCGCTCCCTGCTCCGTCACACGGGGGTCTTCACCGACATCGTGATAACGTCCGAATGCAGCCCAGCCCCCACCCCCGGCCCCAAGCAGAGCACTTAGCCCCCAGCGCCGCCACCAGGCCCCAGCCCAGCCGCGGTCTGGGGCACACGGAGCCTGGCTGGGGGTCGCTCCTGTCGCCGTCGCTCTCGGCAGGATCCAGGATCGGGATCCAGCGTCGGGCACGAGCCGCAAACTGCTGGGGGGGGGGGGCGGCGATTTATTTCCTGTGAGAACGTCCCTGAATAAAGCATCACCAGCGGGTGAAGGGGGAAAAGACGTGTGACTTTCTAACACTGTTGCAAATCTGGCACAACAGGGCCCCAATCTTGGCAGGGGTCTGGGCAGCGCCTGGCACAGGGGGGACCCTGGACTCGATTGGGGTCTGGGCAGCACCCAGCACAGGGGGGACCCTGGACTCGATTGGGGTCTGTGTGGTTCGTAGCACAATGGGGGCCCTGGTCTTGTGCGAGGTCTGGGCAGTGCCCAGGGGGTCTGGTCAGTGCCTGGTGCGAAGGGGGCTCCAGTCTTGTTTGGGGTCTGGGCCGCGCCCCCATCTCTCAGTTGAACCCTAGGACCAGAGGCAAACCCCAGACGCTCCCACCCCGGGCACCCCCTAAGAGGAGAGGCAGTGCTCTGCAGTGGTTAGTGCACTCACCTCGGATGCAAGAGACCCAGGTTCAATTCCCTGCTCTGCCCCAGACCCCTTGGGTAAATCACCCAGCCGCTCTGTGCCTCAGTTTCCCCCATGTAGACAATGGGGCTAGCAGCCCTGCCCTGCCTCCCAGGGGTGTGTGGGGATGAAGTGGCAAGGATGGGGCTGGCGGGTTGTGGTCCAGGCGGGGGGGGACACGCTGAGCAGTGCCCAGCCCCTTGGGGAGCTCTCCTCCACAGCCTGCCCGCCCCTCCTTGAACTGCACCCATGGGCAGAGATGAAGGGGCAGGGGCATTGCCCCCCAAACTGGACACGTTGCAGAGGTGACGTGGGGGGATGGGAGCACCCCCTCCCTTAGCCCTGCTCCCTCCCTGTGGAGCAGCGTGGGGGGAGTGGGGAAGCCAGGCCTGGTGCTGTGCGCCTGCCGGTCCGTGTGCCCAGGGGGGCTGCCTAAGGGCAGGTCGGAGAGCCGCTTCCTTCCCCCATCACTCCTCAGCCTTGGGGGGGGGGTCACTGTATGGAGAGCTGCCCCCCTCCCCCAACCCCTTCAATTCAGATCCTCCCCCACACGCACCCCGAACCTGCCCCACTGAGCCCACCACACACAGACCCTCCGGCGAGCCCAGTACGGAACTGGGGAAATCAGGAGTCACTCCACTGGGGCCCGTTCCCCCGTGTAAATCAGGAGTCACCCCACTGGGGCCCGGTCCCCCGTGTAAATCAGGAGTCACCCCACTGGGGCCCGGTCCCCCGTGTAAATCAGGAGTCACCCCACTGGGGCCCGGTCCCCCGTGTAAATCAGGAGTCACCCCACTGGAGTCCCTGGGCCGATTCCCCCCTCACTTCCCCCAGGGTAAATCAGGAGTAACTCAGCGAGGCTGCTCCTGTTCACACCAGCTCCGGGGGCCGCCCTTCAGCAGGGGGAGGACGGGGGAGGGCTTTGGAGAAGTGCCCCGGCCTGGCATGGTGCCCGCCTGCCGCACCATCTATTTAACCAGCCCGTCCCTGCCCACTCCCCAGCCAGCAGCTCACCCCGGCATCTCCGCGGCCAGGGACAGAGCTGCAAACCCACCCCCGAGCCCTCTGCTGCCCAGGTGAGAATTCCCTCTCCAGCCGACCCTGCCCCACGCCAGCCCCTGCCCCTGCCCCTGCCCAGCTGGGTTAAACCCAGTGCTTAGGGCAGGGGGAAGCCAGGCGGCGGGTGCCAGGGCCTCTGTCCAACTGGGGGACCACTGGGCAGGGTGGGAAGAGACTGGCTCTGGGATTGTCCTCGATCCATGGCGGGGCTCAGCGGGCGACACTGCCAACCCTGCTCGCTCGGGCGGGCACTCCCCAGAGACTGCTGCACAACGCCACGGCCCCCTACAGAATATCGGGGCTTCCTAGTGTCGGAGAACCCAGCCCCACCCCTGCTCTAACCCCTGGATCCAAATCCCTTCCCAGAGCTGGGGGCAGAAAAGCAGACTTTGCTCTGTGATGTTTCCTGTGTTCCAGGTTAGGTGGATCTGTCGCGGCTCCGACACCAGCCCCCCCTTCTCTCCAGAGCCATGGACGTTCGTCTTGTCTTGTGCCTCCTCTGGGCTCTCCTAGCTACAGCCCATGGTGTGTGGTGAGAGTTTCTGGAGGTCTAATGGATTAGAGTGGGGGTGGGGAGAGCCAGGATGCCTGGGTTCTATCCCAACTCCTGGAGGGGGAGGGGGGTATAATGGGTTCTAACCTCAGCTCTGCCAGTGAGCAAGTCCCTGCTCCGTGCCTCAGTTTCCCCCACCACTCTGTCTAGTTGACCGTAATCTCTTTGGAGAGGAACTGTTTCTCAAATTGGGTCTGTGCAGCACCTGGCACAACGGGGAGCTGATCTCAGACGCGGTCTGTGCAGCTCTTAGGAAAGCATCACGTGGATTGTTCCCCTGACAAAATCACCATGGGAAACGTTCCCATTTTCCAGACAGGGACGTTCCTGCTCTGGCTGCTGGAGGGAATCAGCAGAAATGACTCTGCCTGCGCCCTCGAAAGAACTCGCAGGGCAGCCAGCCCAGCCGAACGGGTCCCTGGGGGCCTGAGAACCCGGCTCACGGGATCTGAGCCGCCCCGGTGCCAGAAAACGACCTGGCGAGCCAGTAAATGGTGGGCAAGGAGCGGATGAGGAATCATTGTTTGCCAGAACTCAGGAGAAATTCCTTTCACAGCACGTCCTTCCAGCTGTTACCAGAGCACCCCCGGGGAAAGTAGCATCGTGAGGAACTGTAGGAGTTGGGAAGATTCTTGCATCACTGCCCAGGAGGTGAACACTATCGGTACGTGCCGTGGCACCGTGACCCGGAGCAAGGCGCGGGCTCTCTAGACCGCACATCCTGAATCAGCAGATTAGAGCAAAATCGTGGCGTTCAGCCAGGGCCATCCCTAGCCATTTGGGTGCCCTATGCCCTTAGAGTCTGGGAGGCAGGGGGGCACTTTGGGGGCCCCACAGGCCCAGATTGGCCCAGGGAATTAGCAGGGGGCCGGGAGCAACCTGCTCCACTTCCCACGCCCCAGCCCCAGCAGCGTCGCTCGGGGGAGGGATCCCACCCCCACTCACCAGCAGCAGCGGGAAGCGGAGCAGCTCGGCCCCCGCCTGCTCTCCTCAGCCAGCTCCAGCCGCGGCGCTCTGCTTCCCGCCACCGGGGAGTGCGGGGTCGCTGGGGGAAGAGGTGGAAAAGGGGCGGTCCGGGGGTGGAGCGGGGGGGTAAGAGGGAGTTGTCTGGGGCCCCACACCGCCTAGGGGCGGCCTTGACCCTTGCAGGGAGTCCGGCCGAGGGATAGGGCTGGTCGCCGGGGCTGGTGCTGTCACCTATGCAGCACGCAGCTGCCTAGGGCACCATGAAATTTGGAGCAATTTGGTGCCCCACATGTCATGGTGCCCTACGCAGCTGCACATGCCGCGTATGCCTAAGGACGGCCCTGCATTCCCCTAAAAACAGCAGCTCTCAGGCCTTCATTGTCAGTGTGACCAACGCAGCGACATGCCTGGGTCTGCTGAGAGCCTGAGCCCATTGCTGGGAGGAGAGAAAACTGCCCCAGGCATCTCAAACGGGTTTTAACTCCCAGCCCCTTGGCCCTAGCGGGACCCTGTCAACCCCTCCCCTCTCCCCACTAGGGACCCTGCATGACAGGCAGAGTACAACAGGCCTGCCCTCCCTCCCCCCAAGTAGAGAGCCCCAACTGCCAGGCTAAGGCCTGTGGGATCCCACCACTGCCACCAGTTTGAACACACCGTCACTCGTGGGGGGGGGGGGTTGGATCAAACACTGAGGCAGAGCTATGTGGGGTGGGGTGTGTGGCCTTAATCCAGCTGTAGGGAGGCGGCAGGAGGTTGGGGTTCGGGCACTATCTTGCTTTCACCCCTTGACACCCGTTCCTTCCCCTCCCCACCAGGGGGCGTGGTGAACACGGGCATCTTCCAGTCCTGCACCCTCAGCTGGTTGAGCCTGGAGGGTGACCTGGACTTCGAGTTCGGGGGCGGCGTCTACGTGAGGATCCACTCTGAGCTGTGCAGAGAGACCAACTGCAACACGGGGGCGTTCAAGGAACGTACGTACCCAGCCTGCACCCACCCCCACCCTGGCACCTCTCACCTGCCCTGCCCTTTCCCTCTGCTGCCCTGCACCCTGGGAGATCAGGGACCCATTGCACCGGGCGCTGCCCAGCCCCCCCGACCGAGATCAGGGGCCCCCCAACCTGTCAGGCACTGCCCAGCCCCCACAACCAAGATCGGGGCCCCCAACCTGTCAGGCGCTGCCCAGCCCCCACGACCGAGATCAGGGGCCCCCCCAACCTGCCAGGCACTGCCCAGCCCCCATGACCGAGATCAGGGCCCCCCCCCCGCCCATCATGTCAGGTGCCACCCAGACCCCCCCCATCCGAGATCACGGCTCCCCCCCCCCCCCATCATGTCGGGCGCTGCCCAGACACACAAGGAGACAGCTCCTGTCCCAACGAGCTTCCAGTGTGACTGGACCCAGGCAGGATCATTCTCGCCATTATCCCGTTGGGGAAACTGAGGCCCAGGAAGGTCCAAGCTCCCCTGGACAGTCAGCGGCAGAGTTGGGAGGAAGAGAACCGAGGCGTCCTGACGTCCAGCCCTGTGCCTTCACCGCAGCCCACCCGCCCTGGAAACGCCAAGACACAAGGAGCGGCGTCCTGCTCTGATTCCCCCCTCTTTGCCCACAGGCCCCCAAATCAGCACCGTGCCCAATGGAAGACAGTGCCCGTCGTGCTATGCCCCAGGATCCCACCGCTGCCTCCACAACAAGATCCTGCACTGCCAGGGGGCTGCCAACCACTGCGTTGACGTCACCGGGATGCTGTCAGAGAGTGAGTTCCCCATAGGCCCCCCCAGGCCAAACCTGCTCAGGGGACACCCGGGCCTGCCAGCAGGCACTGGACCAAGCGCCCTCCCCTCCCCCCAGAGTGCAGAAAATTGCAAAGTTTTGGCCCAAGCAAGGGGGTCTGGGGGTGTTATTTGAGCTCTCTGCCTCAGGTGCCAAAAATGTTGTGAGCCAGCCCTGCAGCGGGGGTGGGGACAGAAAGGAGCAAACAGGTTGTGGGGCGGGCGGAATGTGGGGAGGGACCCTGGGTGGAACAGGGGCGGGGCCCTGGGGAAGGAGTGGAAAGGGATGGGGCTGTGGGCGGGGCCGCAGGCAGAAGGGGCGGAACAGGGGCAGGGCCCCCCACTTGCTCTGGCCCAGGGCCCCAGGAAACCTCAATCCTCCTCTGCCGTCTTTTCTTGTCTCTTTTCCTTCTGTCTCTTTCCTCTTGTCATCTCTCCTTCCTGTCTGTTTCCTCCTCCTCCCCGACTCCCCCCTTTGGGAACCCCCCCTTTTCCTGGGGCTTTTCGAAATGGCCCCAAGCCAACCGGAATTGTCCCCTTTCCTCGTCCCTCCCCGCCACTCCGGCCAGTCGTCTGTCTCCTGCTGGCATCTCTTGTTTTACACGGAGACTGGAAGACCTGGGTGGCAGATACTTGGCCAGCGCCTGGGGCAATAGGGCTCTGCCTGTGTGTCCCCATGCCAGGGGCTCTGTGCCCCCCCCCCCCCATGCCGGATACTAATGCCAATTTCTCTGGGCAGAAAACACCAACACCGAAATCCCTTTCGCAGCCAGAGGATGCGCCACCAAGGATGTGGCCAAGATCAAAGCTGGGATGGGCCTGGAGTCGGGCGTATACATCTATCAAATCGCGACCATCCAGTTAAGCCCGGCCCCCAAAATGGAGACAGTGGACGGCTTCTGATGCCCTGCTGAGCTCCATCCCACTGGCACGCCCCCGCTTCGAGCTATTCCCTCCCACTCCACCCCCAGGCCTGTCCGGGGCTGGCCCCCCAGCTGTGACTCAGTTTTCCCCCACCCAAGGGGGAATAAGGGTGCCAAGCCCCCTTCATAAAGCGCTTTGAGACCCATGGGTCCAGGGCACAAGCCAGAGACCCATTATGGGCTTTGCACTAAGCGTGACGAGCTTAAAAACAGGCCTGAGTATTAGAGACCCATTAGCAGCTTCTCCCCAGAGCGTGCTCTGAGGGGTAAAGCCCAGGTGTCCTGGCTCCCAGCCCCCACTGCTCTAACCCACCAGCCCCCACTCCCCTCCCAGAGCTAGAGAGAGAACCCAGGAGTCCTGGCTCCCAGCCCCCCTGCTCTAACCACTAGTCCCCACTCCCTCCCAGATCCAAGAACAGAACCCAGGCATCCTGCCACCCCTCCACCCTCTGTTCTCACCCTCTGTATTTCCACATGCTAATGCATTGAATAAAGCTGCATCATAAATCCAAATTCCCTGCAGAGCACCGTAGGGGCCATAAGGAAGCCAACCTAGCCCTGGTGTAGCCAGCGCTGAGTCGACAGGGAGAAATCAGACGTCCCAGCTCCCGCCTCTCGGGGAGATGGACTAACTCCGGCAACGGACGCACCCCGCCCCTCGGCGTAGTCGTGTCTACACTGAAGCGCTACAATGGCGCAGTGGCCGCATTTCAAGTGGACACTAGGGTGGCCAGGTGCCTGGTTTTCGACCGGGAAGTCCAGTCCAGTCGAAAAGGGAACCGGACAGTGTCCAGTCAGATCTACTGACCGGACAGCCAAAGTCTGCAGGCGGGGGAGGTGGGGAGGCGCTGGGTCATTGCCCGTGCCAGCCCTTACTGAGCCGGGGCTGCCTCTGACCTTCCCTGGGCAGCTGCAGCTCCCAGCCCCGGTTCTGCAGATGAATCCTTCCTGACCCCAGCTAGGGGGTGGGAGGAGAAAAGCAGTGAGCGAAGGAGGGACGGGGGAGGAGAAGAGGAGTGGACAGGGTGGAGCCTTGGGGAAGAGGGGGGGCAGGGGTGGGGCTGTGTGGGGGGGGAAGGTTCCAGCACTCCTGTTGGTGTCCAGTTTTTAAATATTACTAAGTTGGCAACTCTAACAGACAACCCCTTAGAATCCAGGAGGCTCACACCCACGAACCGTCCCAAACCAGAGAGAGACAAAGCAGGCTGCTCCCTAAGGCCGCGAGGCCCAGCTCGCCCCCTCCCTTTTCTCTAGGCTGGCTCTCCACAGACTGACTGTGACGAACTAGGCCTGTTCTCACTGTGGGCTGTGAATGCTGACAGGGGAGAGTGGCTAGGATAGTCTGCATTGAAGGATGGGAGACGGCCCAAGGGCGCATACCTAAGTGTGTAACATAAGAACCCAGGAAGGGGTTGAAGGCCAGAGGCCAGGTGACTCCTGAGCCCGGAAAACTAAACAAAGGCTGTGGGAGGGGTCGCGGAAGGAAGAGGGTTGAAAGCAGGCTGAAGAAATGGCTCTGACCTCCCAAGGGGGGCTGGGCTGGGATGCCCTGGGACCCCAAGATGGACCTAACTGAGGGGGTCCCTGTTGTCTGTGCCTGCAAGACCTGTCTTGGACTGTATTCCTGTCATCCAAATAAACCTTCTGCTTTACTGACTGGCTGAGAGTCGCAGTGAATCGCAGGAAGCCGGGGGTGCAGGGCCCTGAGTTCCCTAATACTCCGTAACACTGACTCAGGCCATATCCGTCCATGCAGTGCCCCCAAGCCTGCCAGCAGGACCGGGAAACCCCCAGAGCATTGCAAGGATGGCTTGTCACTGTACCCCTGTTTCCAACATGCCCCCAAAGGGGGGAATGGAAGGAACGTTGGACAGACAAACTCCAGGTGCAGGTGCGGGCAGGGCGTGAGAGGGGCAGCAAAGAAACAGCTGTCTGGAAAAATCGGCCACTTTGTCACTCTATGCCTCAGTTTCCCCTTCTATTCAGTAATCTTTCCCTTATCTGTTTAGGCTGGAAGCTCTCCAGGGCAGGCGCTGGCTCTCAGGGTGTGTCTGGGCAGTGCCTGGCACGACATGGGTTCTGTAGAGGAGCAGACTCACCCCTCCGGCGCCTCCTGCTGGTGACTCTGGGAATTAGCTCTTCCAGCATCCTGGAACACCCTCTGCAGGCCGGTGGTCTGCCTGTCCTCTGGCCCTGTGTCCCTCCCAGGACCCCACTGCCCTTTTATCTGGGGTGCTGCCCCCTGGCAGTAACCCCTCAGTTCTAGGGTCTCCCCCCACAGGGAACCCCCACCCACTATCCCCACCTCCCCTCAGAATAAGGCCACTGCCAGTTGCCAACTAGCCCCCACTCCTTGGGGCAGACTGCAGTATAGGCCACTCATCACAGGCAAGGTTTGGACCTGCTGCCTTGGCCTAGCCCTGGGCTGCCCTCTGCAACCCCCAGTACCTGTTAGCCCAATGCTAGGCCACAGCCTGGGGCTTTCCAGGCTGGAGCTCCCCAGCCCTGCTCCATTCAGGTACCCTGTCTCTGCTCCCTGCAGCCAGGCCCGTCTCTCTTAGAGCACAGAGAGAGACTGTTGGGGCTCCTGGCTCACAGCCTTTTTATACCGGCCGGCTGGGGCCTGATTGGGGCGTGGCCCGGCTGCGTCTGCTTCCCCAGTCAGCCTAGCTTTTGGGGCTGCAGCCCTCTGCAGGGCTGCTTTTACCCCTGCTATTTTAGGAGCGGGGTAGCCACCCCGCTACAGGTTCCCTGATCTCAGTCAGGGGGTCTGGGCAGCACCTGGCATAATAGGGACCCCCCCAATCTCAGTGGGGTCTGTGGCCCCCAGCACCCCATTGTGACACTGTACCCCAAAGCAACACCCTGGCACCCCCATATTTACCATGGTGATAGCATTCAGGTGTGGTTTGTGCGCAGTCTGCCTTGTGAGGGATCATTCTAAAAGTCTTGATCTGTTGAGCATTAATACCCTGTTGGATTGGATGCGCCAGCGCTGTATGGGGAGTTACCGCGTTTTGCTACGTGTGCGTTACTGAAAGAGGTGGTGAGGTTGGGAACACCCACAACCAGCCTTTCAGGTGTAACAATGGATAGGGCCGGATTAACCTTTTGTGGGCCGGCGCCAAACACATTTGTGGGCCCCCATGGGGCAATGGAGCCTGGCACGGGGAGGTCAGTCCCTGGAGCGAGGGGCCAGGCAGAGGCAATGGGGCAGGCAGGGGCGGCCCCGCTCCGCCCAATGCGAGGGCACTAGTTACAAACCGGCAGTTTCCAGACACACAGTGGCCTGCCCAGACCTGTGATGCCAGCCTGCCCCTTCCCCTCGGGTGCAGGACAATGCCACACCACACAACCCCCCCCAGCCCAACACCCCCTGACTCCCTATGGCCAGAGGCCCCCCAGACCCACCCAAACATGCACAGTGCCCTGCATAACACCTCCCCTGCCCACAGCCCCACCACAACTGCCCAGCCCCTGCACCCCCCACAGGCTCCCCACTCCCCTAGTGCCCCAACACATACAGATCCTCCCCCCCCCTTCTGTGATGAAGTGGGGGGTTTTCTTGGTTTTTCCAATGGTTTGCATGCAGAGGGGGTGGGACTCAGTGTCCCTGGGTGTTACTGGTTTAACAAGGTGATCAGAGAGGGAGTTTGTTGGTACATAGGACCAGAGAGGGAACTTGGGAGCCCAGCCAATGGCCTAGTGGACGGAAACCCCAGTGACTGGTGACCTGGTGACCCGGAGGACCAGCTCGGGAGTCACAGCCAGTTCTGGGCAGGGGGAGGACAATGGGCTGCGGGGAGAGGACCCAGTGACCTGACCAGCCGGTTCCAGCCCAAGGGGCCAGAGGACAGGAGAGAGGAGAGGAGGCCCAGGCGACCCTGTTTTCCTGGAGAGAAGACAATGGAGAGAGGCGGGGTTTGGGGCCGGGGGTATCAGATGCCCAGTGGGAAAGCAGGGGGGCTCTGGGCTGGAGAGGGGGAGCAGGCAGAGCCCACATGGATGCGGGGAGACTTGGATGTGCTGGGCTGAGGGAGGCCAGGCCTGAGGGTCAGAGTTTCTTGTGCTGTGTTCAGATGCTCAATAAACTCTCCTGAGAGTTGCTCCGGTCTAGAGAACAGGGCGGGGGGGGGGCATTATTCACTCGGGGACTGGAGGCCCCAGGGGTGCAGAGCGAGGGGTCTCCCTGAGGGGGCCCACGGCAGTGACAGACGTGTTAAGGCTCAGAGAGGTGCGGCTCCAGGAGGTGGAGGGGCCTGACCCCGGGAGAGAGTGGACTGTCTCACTGAAGGGGGTTCCCCCATGGACCACACAGGGCCAAGAGTGGGCACGATCTGTGAGTCCGTGACAAGGTGGTAGCAGAGGATGGTTGGCGGATGCACCCTGTAGACGTTGGCTGCGGGCGCCGGCGCTTTGCAGTGAGTGGTTGCCGGCGATAGAACGAGGGTATTGAACGGAACCAGCCTGGAAATGGCCTAGAACCAGCTCCGTCAGAGCGACCTGGCCCGTCTCTGCAGGGAGAGGGGGCTGAGCGTGGGGGGCTCACTAAGGAGCGGCTGATTGCTCAGCTGGTAGAGAATGACCCGTCTGAGGTGCAGGCTCCAGATGTTATACCAATAGAATAAAAACCAGCAGGATCTTATTAAGAGGGATAAGGCAAAGATGCCACATTTATTGTAAATATACTGAGAAAGCAAAAGATAAAAGTAAACAACGTTGTTTGACTACTTATTTCTTATACACGCACACACACACAGATATATCTAGAGAGAGAGAGAGAGAGAGAGAGAGAGAGAGAGAGAGAGAGAGAGAGAGAGAGACATTCACACAAACAGTCATTGAAGATCTGTGTAGGTGCTATAGAT